AGAAGAATTAAAAGAGCCCTAGGTCTTTATCTTTAAATATGCTTTAAGTAACAAACCTTGAGAAAACAATGTATTCATAATTAATGCTAAATTTTAAAAGAATTCTTTTTTAAAGAGTCCTGACAAAAATACAGTTAATTTCATTTTGTATACTAATATAGATATTCAAATTTAGAAGCTTCCTGAAGAAGATAATCTGAACCTTTTCTTGGGCAGAAGAGTTTAAGATACTACAGTGTTGAAGAAAATACTACCAAAGTATGTGTGCCTAAGAAATGATCTCACCTGAAAGTCTTAGATATACAGAAGCATTTTAAGGAATTAATCTGGGCTTTATTTCTACAGTTAAAGGGAATTAAATGTAATTTGCAGCAGCTCCATTTTAGCCATTCAAAAACTTCTGGAGCTCTCATCAATTGTAAACATGATGTTTCGTTATTTGGGCTAACTCCTGTAGTTAAAAAAGACAGGTACATCTTGGCTAAATAGAATGACAAACAGAGAAACAGTGAAACTCATCCTAAGGTGAAAAAAGCTGTTTCTGGAGGCCTCTAGAACTGAACTGTCCAAGCACAAGTTAGGATGAACTGACATAAAGAAGAGGGTTACACTTTAGGTGTAAGACTGTGTACATTAACGTTCCTTCCAATGCTAAGATTCTGTGATTCTGACGAAACACAAAACAACAATACTCCCAAACCAAACCAAAAGCTATTCAAAAGTAGCTCACTCACTTCCAAAACATGAATTTTCCAAGGTGACTAAATGCATAAATACTTCTCCAGTAACCTTAAACAATTGGAAAACTTGTAATTATAAATAATTTAAGTTATGCTTCTTTAAGTGTCAAAGGATGGTCCCTGTCTCCTCACTTGGAAAAACAAAACAAACAAAAACACTGGAAAACACCTTTTTACCTTATTAAAGTAGTCCAGCAGGAGCGGCCATCTAAACAACGTAAGTAACAACTTATAGTTGTTTTCTTAAACTGCTTAATATCTTCTAATTCTTCTTCCCTCATATCTGGCCTCTGAGCTATAAATAGCTGCATCAGGTTAAATAGTTCTTCCACTGCCTAAAAAGGACAATTAAGCATAATGATGATCTTTTAAGCCTACATTTTAGAATGTCTGCTTCACTTCTAATGTTATGCTCATTAAACAGCTCTTAAAATTACACAAATAAAATTACACTACCATTCATTCAAGAATAGTTATAATTATCAATGAATTCTGTTTCAGAAATTTAATATATTATTCATTAAAATCTTAAAATATAACTTCAGAATTAGTAAATACAGTTTCCATTAAGCACTACTAGTTCTGTAACTTGAAATGGGCATCCACAGATGAGCCACACCAATCCTCTGCTTCAAGAAATCACTTCTTTGGCACAAATATTTTACCCCCTCAAACACATGTAAATTAACACAGTTTCTGAGAAAACCCTCTGTGCCAATATTTGGAATGATCACCCAGACTGTATGGTCAAGTTCAAGGTACCTGATGCATGACATGTGAGAATATTTTTTAAAATCACGTGCTATGATTTTATAAACTCATTTACTCATGGGTATATTAGGAAAGTGTTGCTCTAACACATATTTGTCAATAAACTGAAACCCCCAACTTCATATTTTTCATGGCAAAAGTTGATTTAAGCACCATTTTCATGAGAATGTAATAGACAAGTTCTACAAAAAAAGATGTTACATTTCATTGATGGCAAGGGTAGGAAACTACATTATTGGATAAATATTTTAAGTCACATGGCACTCATCAAAGGTGTATTTAATTATATACATCATGTTTAGTTACAAAGTCAAATATTATTTATGTGAATGTGATAGCGAAAAATCACTGAATCTTAGTAAGTCTTGTCTGACTTATTTAAAGTCAGGCAAACTCTTATTCTTTTCCTACTGCATTCTTATTATCATTGTCTTTGAACCTCTTTCAGTACTTTACATACTCACTTTCCTTCCTTCATTATAGGCATTCTAACTTTCTTAGCTGAAAATTAGATTATTCTTTCTGGGTGAGAAATTCTGAACAATTGACTACATTATGTGTAAAGGAGAGTTAAGGGAAAAAGGAACATAGTACCCAAATCAAAAATACCAAAACTTAAAATACCCTTTACTTTATTCACTCAATTCAATTCTTAAGTACATCTTGAATATCTTGAAAAAGCTCCTACTTTTCCTCTTCCACCATCTCCCATTTAGCAAACAACCGCACATGTTAGCAGTTGTGGCCTCTGGGTTGACAAGATCTTGAAAAAAGTGTCTGTACTCTCCTTCTAATCCCCTTCCCAGATTTATAAACCCCTTGGTGTAATCTTGAGTTTACAGTAGAGAGTAAGAGGCCACAGTGAAAAAGAAATATCCTGGAATGACAACCTTACATGGAGGGGGAATAACTTAATATGTAACCCTCAAAGAGTTTGCAGAAAAAAGGAGATCAGATTTAGACTGCATATATTTGTATTCTGATAGACCCCTTAACCACTGTATTCACTTGAATGTAGTGTAAGGAAAAAAAAACCACTAGGGAATACTACAGCTAAGAGAAAATACTGCCCAGTTCATAGCTTACAACAGTATGTAGCTCTCGGTAACAAATATCTAAATAGTAAATACATCCTTAAGACTCTACCAACAAAGCTGACTTTTTTCGTTAGGTACATATTAAAGACATTTATAAAACCACAAATCAAAATGAAACTGGTTAAGTTCCATTAGAGATAAAATTTCAACATCAACCTAAGAAAAACTATCAACATGTCTATCAGTTTTATAACAATAGAACGTTTTATACATGTATTCAAGAACACAAATACACGTTAAGTCCTTAAGAAAGAAGGGTTAGAGACTGTACTTTGTTATTTTGTCACCACTCCCCACATTGGGAAGTAGGTATTTCCAATCAACGTGAGGATATAGATATGAAAGTTAGCAATTTTACTCACTCCAGGGTATTGGCTGGCATGTGGTGTAAGATTCTTAAAGGCCCACTGGATGTTCTGGTGAGAAGCCAGTTGTCGTGTGAACGCGGGAGACTGCTCACAGCAGAGCCTCAGGAATCAAGAAATCACTTCTTTGGCACAAATATTTTACCCCCTCAAACACATGTAAATTAACACAGTTTCTGAGAAAACCCTCTGTGCCAATATTTGGAATGATCACCCAGACTGTATGGTCAAGTTCAAGGTACCTGATGCATGACATGTGAGAATATTTCTTAAAATCACGTGCTATGATTTTATAAACTCATTTACTCATGGGTATATTAGGAAAGTGTTGCTCTAACACATATTTGTCAATAAACTGAAACCCCCAACTTCATATTTTTCATGGCAAAAGTTGATTTAAGCACCATTTTCATGAGAATGTAATAGACAAGTTCTACAAAAAAAGATGTTACATTTCATTGATGGCAAGGGTAGGAAACTACATTATTGGATAAATATTTTAAGTCACATGGCACTCATCAAAGGTGTATTTAATTATATACATCATGTTTAGTTACAAAGTCAAATATTATTTATGTGAATGTGATAGCGAAAAATCACTGAATCTTAGTAAGTCTTGTCTGACTTATTTAAAGTCAGGCAAACTCTTATTCTTTTCCTACTGCATTCTTATTATCATTGTCTTTGAACCTCTTTCAGTACTTTACATACTCACTTTCCTTCCTTCATTATAGGCATTCTAACTTTCTTAGCTGAAAATTAGATTATTCTTTCTGGGTGAGAAATTCTGAACAATTGACTACATTATGTGTAAAGGAGAGTTAAGGGAAAAAGGAACATAGTACCCAAATCAAAAATACCAAAACTTAAAATACCCTTTACTTTATTCACTCAATTCAATTCTTAAGTACATCTTGAATATCTTGAAAAAGCTCCTACTTTTCCTCTTCCACCATCTCCCATTTAGCAAACAACCGCACATGTTAGCAGTTGTGGCCTCTGGGTTGACAAGATCTTGAAAAAAGTGTCTGTACTCTCCTTCTAATCCCCTTCCCAGATTTATAAACCCCTTGGTGTAATCTTGAGTTTACAGTAGAGAGTAAGAGGCCACAGTGAAAAAGAAATATCCTGGAATGACAACCTTACATGGAGGGGGAATAACTTAATATGTAACCCTCAAAGAGTTTGCAGAAAAAAGGAGATCAGATTTAGACTGCATATATTTGTATTCTGATAGACCCCTTAACCACTGTATTCACTTGAATGTAGTGTAAGGAAAAAAAAACCACTAGGGAATACTACAGCTAAGAGAAAATACTGCCCAGTTCATAGCTTACAACAGTATGTAGCTCTCGGTAACAAATATCTAAATAGTAAATACATCCTTAAGACTCTACCAACAAAGCTGACTTTTTTCGTTAGGTACATATTAAAGACATTTATAAAACCACAAATCAAAATGAAACTGGTTAAGTTCCATTAGAGATAAAATTTCAACATCAACCTAAGAAAAACTATCAACATGTCTATCAGTTTTATAACAATAGAACGTTTTATACATGTATTCAAGAACACAAATACACGTTAAGTCCTTAAGAAAGAAGGGTTAGAGACTGTACTTTGTTATTTTGTCACCACTCCCCACATTGGGAAGTAGGTATTTCCAATCAACGTGAGGATATAGATATGAAAGTTAGCAATTTTACTCACTCCAGGGTATTGGCTGGCATGTGGTGTAAGATTCTTAAAGGCCCACTGGATGTTCTGGTGAGAAGCCAGTTGTCGTGTGAACGCGGGAGACTGCTCACAGCAGAGCCTCAGGATGCCGTAGTAGGCAGGCAGCATCCCACGGTTAAAAAGCACCACATCCTGATCATCATGGTCAGCAAGGATGTAATTGAAGGCAATGTTCTTGGTTACCACTGGGTTTTGAACAATAAGGCGGATATTCTCTGGACAGTCAGCACACACATTGTACCAAAATGAAAGCAAAGCCTGTTTATTGTGATTTGTAGCTATTGCTGGCTCAGAAAGTTTAGGCTGGAAAAGGTTCCACAAATCCATGAAATAAGTGGAAAACATCAGCTTCTCAGTTTTGGATATTAAACAGTAAGTCATAAAGCTAAAATAGGGCACTAGCTTTGTAGTGCCATGAACAGCAGCATCAACATAAAGTTTGGCTCTTGAGAGCAAACCAAGGAGCACGTTGTAGACCTGATGTAGGACTACTGTTGTGTCTGGGCTGAGTGGAAGGTCACGGGTTGGGATGTGCAAAGACCTTGTTGACCGGAACATCTGGCGGAATGAATTGCTTGGTATAAGGGATACCAGAAGATAAGCTGCAGCTATAAAATGTAAAACAAAACTGTCAGATACTTATAAGATATCAAATAGACTGAAGAACAGTCATTAAACAAAATGCCACTCTTCTCTTTAAAAATTAAAATGAGTGAAAATTAAGGGACATGAACATCTCTTAATATCTTTCTGCTTTACCACTGGCCCCAAAGAAAGATCCCAAGGAATGATGAAAACAGATGTCTTCATGCTGTCATTGTTTTTCTTTAAGTGGTGAAAACAATCACATTAGCAGAAACAGTTTTAAACCTTTCCTGTTTAGCTTTCCCAATATGTAGAAAGTTCCCACTTATTTTGTTGTTTCATTTCTTCTCAGGAAATAATATGGTTTAATGGAAGAACACAGCATTTGGAGCCAGAAGATATATGTGAGGCTGACTGACATGGTCAAATCATTTAATGTTTTAGTATCTTACTTTGCTTCTTTACAAAATAATGCTAAACTGTTCTGTAATAATTTACAGATAATGGTAAAATGTACTTAATTTTACTTATAAAGATAGAATGCAATCTTCTACTTAAAAGTCATTTGTAATACATAACATCATATATATGCCAATTATACATTAACTTTAGAAGTCTTTGAAAGCCTTCTAGTTTAACCTTGAATGCAAACAATCTCTACTTCAACACACCCGAAAAATGTTATTAAGTCTATGCTATAATTCTAAGAGGTTAATGACTTAATAGTTGAATTCATCTATGAAAGTGATTACTATGAGCAAGACACTGAGCTAGGTAATCTAGAAATATTATCTCATTTAATCCTCACAATCATCATAATCCTGGAGGTAGGTGATGTTACACTAGAAATCTGAATCTTGAAGAAGCAAAGGCCAAGATCACACAGATACAGAGGTGGAGCCCAGATCTGGCCTTGGGAAACAACGATATTGGTAACAATAATAATAATGGTAAAACAATAACAACAATAACAAGAATTGCTAACATTTATCAAATGTTTATACTATCTAACATCATAATTTTATGTAGAAAGCAGTACTTTTACTATCCCCACTTTCAGACTTAAAATAGTAAGACAGCTCCATATTATACAGCTAGAGACAGAGCTGGAATTCAAACCCAGATTATCAGACTCATGAGCTAATGCACCTACTAGCATTCGATACAGAGCCTCCTCAAAGCCTCTAACTCTAACTCTCCTCAATACACCTACTAAATGCTCTCTTACTCTTCTACCTATAATTTGATAATTTCCAATGTGCTGCCAAAGCAAATAAAGTTAGGGCTTCTAAAGTTAATTGTAATCTATATTACAGATTCATTTCTGCACAATAGTCCATTATCTATGTATTTCTTCACCTTTATATTACTCTGGTTAGTATATTTTCTGTTAGTACTAGTGCTTTCAAATATACAAACTTGGTATGCAGGTATCAGACTGATCAATTTTTGTATAAAACTGCAATTGAGAAAAGTAATTTGTGATCATGAAAAACTACTCACTTTAAGTTTTATAGTTTTACCCCAACATTTTATGATGAAAAGTTTTTAAACACAGTAAAAGATTGAAAAAGCTACTAAGGATCATGGACTTCCCAGTTAAATTCTACAATTATTAACATTTTATTTTCTTTTATCACATACCTAAGCATCTACTTATTTCTATAAAAGCTATTTGCTTTTAAATAAGTTAGTTATTTCAGGGAGAAAACACAACTTTTTAATTATGTTTGTCTTCAAGAACAATTAGGAAGGTCAGTATGGAAGAACAGACCACCTTGCTAAAAAGTGTCTTGCTGTGTAACTTAAAAGGCCCTGGGTCTAGTTTTATACTATAGAGAACTTGGAACAATTTACATCCATTTCTGTATGCAACTCAACTATTTGAAACACCAATCATGACTCCATTTTCCTTTTCTCTAAACATTCTCAGTCATTCCTTAAAATTATTTTGTAGGATTCATAAGTATTTTTCTGTAGCTTTCTTCTATACATGTTACTCTAATTCTTATTCTAAGTTATAGCCATTCTATTTAAATATTTGGGCCCTTTTTTTTCAAATTAT